CAATACTACAAAAATAAGTTCTTTTACAAGTTATTTCTAAAATCAGAACGTGTCTTCAAATCTTGTTTGGCTCTGTTAGAACAAAATACATATACGATGACCGTTCGGAAAGTTTGCATGCAGTGTTTACCTTTTTTCTCCATTAAAAAGGAAAGAAAATTTTTAATGTTTTTTTTTTACCTTAATGACACTTTGTAAAATAAAATTTATCTGAATAGGTCAGAAGAAAGTACAGGAAAATTTGCTTTTTTTGGATACTAGTGTTTGAAAGATACATTCAAAATCGTAGTTCATTTAAAGTCAACAGTTCAAGAACATGTGAACTTTTAAGCCAGTGCAGTTAAACTAAACATTCAAAATTGAAATTAAAATGACGACAAAAAAACCTACTTCTAATTTATTATCTTGGCAAGATAATATATAATTACGGGTTATGTGAATGCTCACTTGTATTGGGGACATTGTAAACAGATTCTTAAAACCAGAGTTACCATCTTTCATTGTTTTCTGTGTTCAACATTCTTAAAAGACACATTGTCAAGACTTCTTAAAGTGCAAATCACACAAAGTTATTGTTTATCTTGTGTTGATTATTCATAGTCTAAATTTCCTACTCTCGACAAAAGTTTTCATTATTTCATATCTTCTAACGAATATTTTTACTTCTTTAAATATTTGAATAATGTCCATTTAATTCAAGCTTCAAAACTTAGTAGACAAGAGGACTTTGCTCAACAAACAGTGATTTTGGAAGGTGATCTCTTTACGTCAGATGTCCTTGGAAGGATGTTACGTATCAACATTCTCACAACAGATATTTGTCTCATATATTTAAGAGATATATCGCGGGGTTTTTTTTCAGGTTAACACTAAATATTGCTTCACAGTTCTAGTTTTTAGGTGTACAAAATTCAAGTAATTTAATTTTAAGGTTCTAATAGCTTACAAAATGTAAATATCTTTCAAAAAATTGCACAAAAGGAACTGATTTATTTTTTCTTTACCCCGACGTAAAAGTGTCATGTAATTGACATAAAAAACAGATTTTAAACTCTTGTTAAAAATAATTCTCACTGAAGATGCTAGAACCCCTCCTTAACGATGTAATACGTAGTTTTTGGAGACCAGGTTTTCAAACAACCTTACTCAATGTGCCCCATTATTACCCGATCTGTTTTATATTCCAGTATGGCAGAATTTTTTCAAACACTTTGACAAAAAAAGAGAGAACACTTATTTTGGCCTTCAACTCGACTTTTATAGATTAAATCAATATGAGCTGCAACTTTGATGTCGAAATTTTTTTTTACAATAATTAATATTAACTGTTACAATATCATTATAAAAAGAAACATTATATTAATATGTTTTAGTTGTTCATCTTTGCAGTAGAAGAACAATTTATAAGCTTTGATAAAAGTAAAGTTACATTATTGTCGTCCTGTAAAATATTAATTTCGTATAAAATATTCCATTTCTCATAATTCTTACTTCAGAAACAATTTAGTACTTTACTTTATTCTAATTTATCATAAAGGTTTATTTTACTAAACAGGTCTCAAACAGTGTATTTTAACAGCAAAATTAAAGGTACTTAGACACAGATTTGAAGTTATTATTTTCTCTATAATATAACGACTTATATATTTTGATAGCATTTCAAACAAAAATTAATTAAAAATCTTATTTCATATAAAAGATATTAAAATTTCAATTTTTTTGGCGGGTTTGATTGACATATCCTTGCTCTTTCACAAATTAATTCTATTCTTAATCCTTAGGAAAAGTGGCAATCTTGTTGTGTACAAATGAAAAATATTAATACTATATAATCCAGAAAATTCAGAGTAGATATGTTCGAAAGCAAAACAAACACACAATATATTGTCAGTCCGTGCAGTTGTGGTAAGCAGACTGTGACGAATGAACGCATCCGGTGAATTGTAAACATCAACGATAACAGAACTCGTGCCCTGTTTACAAAAACTGTGTACATAACACGAGTGTGTTCGATTTGCAAAACTCTGTACGCAACTCTTAGTTCGGGATGACGATAATTATGAAGGAGTTTTGCTTTCTAACATTTCTACTCTGAATAAAATTATTTTTCTGGATAAAAGTTTTAATGGTTCTCATTATTACACAACAAGATTGCAACTTTTCCGAAGGATTAAGAAGAAGGTTAAAATTTGTGAAAGTGCAAGGATGTGTCGATCAAACCCGCTAAAAAATTTTTAATAACTTTTAAATGAAATAATGAAAGATTTTTAATTAATTTTTGTGTGAAATGCTATTAAAATATGTAAGTCGTAATATTATAGAGAAAATATTGACTTCAAATCTGTGTCCAAGTACCTATAAATAAGCAGTTAGTACAAGACATAACAGAGTCTGCCACAGCTGTTTCATATTTTATTGACTGTAGACGATAAAGATAAGTACCAACTAACAGCTAAGCTGTACGGCAAAGGAGGATCTGCCAATTGTCCCTTGTCTAATTTTCTTATTAATGTCATATTCCACGAACCCCTACATGTAGCATTTACTTCGCCCAATTTCTTCTTATGTAGATTTTTTTTCTTTTCAATAAATTGAAAAATACAGGTGAACTACTAAAAGATCACAAAAGAGGATAAATATTTTTTATCAAAAGAAAAGGAGATTTAACGTTCGTGATCATCTTGTTCTTTTGGTGGGATCAGATACCATACGGCAGTAAGCTTCCCCTGTTGACTTGTCACCGTGATAATTGATCTAGTAGACGGCATATTGTGTAGAAAAATGAAGTCAAGAAAGGCCAAACATTTGGTATGATACATTTCAGAGTCTAAATAGGACCCTTGATCAAATTTATTTGCTAATAAATTACAACATTAGAATTTACAAAAGAATCCCTTAAAAGGGCGTGATATCATATTATAAATATTTGAATTATGATGCAAAAGCTACCTCTGTTTTTTAGCAATGTTTGATATTATTTTTCTTGAATTTCATAGTGAGATAAATGAAGAGTAATAAGATCCTTGAAGCTCGCGACTTACTCAAATAAGTTCAACTACAAAACTATTATCAATTTAAAGTTATAAAAGTTAATCTGTTCAGAAAATATGGGTCAAGATATTATAATGCCTGATTATTCTAATTGTAAAGTCCTATTCGGTTGAAAGATAATGATGTTACTCTGGTATCCGATTGATTACCTGCCGACAAAGCAGGTAATAACATTGTTTTCGTATGTAAGGCTCATTATATAAATCGTATTTTAGAAGAACTTGGATTTAATTCTACAAGTGGTTATCCTACTTATACTCATACTTCCCTTTCTAAGGAAGAAATTCTTCAAAATCATATGTCAGTTTTAAATATTTTAATATTCCACAGAGCCAAAATGAATTTGAACCACCCTATATATACTGGATTCCGAAACTTCATAAGAATCCTTACAAAGATACAATGCGGGTTCCAGTAAATATTCAACCAAGCCTCTTTCGTTACTCCTCACTAAGATATTGACAGTAGTGAAAGAAAAACTTCAAGAGTACTGTGCAATAATATATTCACGAAGTGATGTGAATCAGATGTGGATACTCATAAATTCCAAAGAACTTTTGGACAATTTGAAATCACAAGATTTTACCAAAATCAATAGCTTAAAAACTTACGACTTTTCAACTTTATACACAACCATTCCCCACGATAAACTAAAGTCCAGGCTTTTTGATATCATTGACGGCTGCTTTTTCAATGAAAATGGAACTCGTAAATTTACTTATCTGATCATTGGTCATTTGCAAAATTATTTTGTTAAAACACATTCTGATTGCACACACAAGTACCGGTACTCTGAAATTGACATCAAAAAGATGCTTAAGTTTCTGATTGACAATATCTATGTTGTTTTAGAGACCAGATATTCCAACAATCTATTGGAATTCCCATGGGTACCAATTGTGCTCCGTTATTAGCAGACCTATTTTTAAATTCATATGAAGCAGAATTTGACAATTTGTGCAAAATCTTATGCGCGAAAAGAAGAAAACACTTGCTGTGGCCTTCAACTCGACATTTAGATATATCGACGACGCATTGTCAATTAACAGTGGTAATTTCCATTCTTATGTCGATACGATATATCATGATGAGCTTGAGATAAAACATACCATAGAGTCTGACACATCTGTTTTATACTTGGATATTTTTCTTAAAAAAGACGTTGATGGCAATCTACAACCAAGCTAATAAATAAACGTGATGACTTTAACTTTTCTATCTTCAACTTCCCTCAATTATGCAGCAATGTACCTTCATCACTTGCACATTGTATACATCTCAGTTGATTCAATACACAAGAGCATGCTATACGTCTGAACAATTTCTAAACCGATGTAACTTATTGCCAAGCAAGATGATGAAACAAAAATATCAGCAGTCTCGTTTAAAGTCATCATTTCGTAAGTTCTATGGTCGACAATGACCTTGTCAGCAAATACAATTTATCATTGAGTCAAATTCTGACTGACAATTTTTATACTAATTGTTAGTCCTTTATTCATACACTGAATTGACGACGGATTTTTCCGTTATTTCCCGATCATGACAAGAAGCACACGGAGGGTGTGACCGGTCAGTAGGGGATGCTCACTCCTCCATGGCACCTGATCACACCTCTGATGTTTCGGAGGTCTGTGTTTGCTCTGCTCCTATTTTGTATTGTTTAATGGAGTACTGTTTGTTATCTCCATATTCTTCATTACCCCTAACCCATACAAAAATCTTTTTCTTTCTGCATTTCTACGTTGAATCTTTTACTTAAATTTGTAGAAGCAATTTTTTGGATGACTTGTTGAACGACTATGGATCACTCTTTAATGACATTTCAGATAAACCCTTAGAATAAAACCATATTATTAATTCCATATAATTTATCTCAAATGATATAAACACCAGTGTCTCTGCTGTAAATTTTTCATCATATTTTACATTTTAAACTATATTAATAGGGCAAGTATGTGATAACAACGACAGTGATGGAGAGAACAATCCAGACAACAAAGACGACGATGTAGACACCACAGCAGGTAGGAATATCATGACGGTATGTAGATAAATAAGTTGATACTACAGCCGGTAAGAATGTTTTGTATGTAGGCCAATAAGTTGACACCACAGCCGCTAAGAATGCTTTGACAGTAGTTGGACTTATGTGCACACAGAGCAGGTATGAATGTTACAGTGTATGACAGTATGTAGATCAATAAGTTGACAACACAGCCGGTAAATGTGTTTTGACAGTACATGGTCCATTTAGTGGACATCATAGCTGGTAAGAATAAGTAGCTGGTAAAAATATTATGACAGTATGTGAACCAAATAAGTTGATACCACAGCCGGAAAATGTGTAATGACAGTTAAATGCTAGCTAGTGGACGCCACTGCTGGCAGATGTGAAATGACAGTGTTTGGGCCCCTGAATGGACAATAGTCTACATTAAATAGGTAATATATATATAATATATAAGTTTAGACCATTAATTGGTACACGTTGTGTTCGAAATAAATACGTTAGGTTAAAACAACAACTTTTATTGAAGTGGTATGTGTATTTAGGTTGATTAAGGTTCATTATCTTCATGTTTTATATTCCTAGGACTTGGGTTATTGTTGAATGCTGCCGATAATGAGTACACGATTAAATGTTGTGGTTTTGTCGATACCTGGGAGTTTTATGCCAAGGATAACACAGGGGTGGTGGATCTACAGATGTGGCGCTCTATCGGGGGCGGATCCTATACCTTAGTTGGCCAAAACTCCTACACCGTCACAGGTTCGTGGAAGTCAACCATATCAATCATGTTTTAATGTAAAGGCTTTTAAATTAAAGATGGTATGCTAATAGAATATGATTAGTTAGGATCATCATACTTAAACAGAGTACCCATACAGAACTGTATATTTAGATACGGATAAGGAGATACGGTATTCTGTCCCAGTCTCAGAGCGCATCCCTGTTCAAAATGGAGACATCATAGGATTGTAAGTATTTACAACACTCTACTCAATTTTCAAACTGTCTCAATTCAACCCTTAAATCAAATCTAAACTATATAATACCTGATAATTATCACTAAAGCAAAATACTGTAAATGTAATGTATTTAGCGTGTACGATATTTGGCGGAAATTGGTTTGTGAAGAAGTTAGCGAAAATCTGATTTAGCGCATTTCTCGATGTTCTTATTTATGTTTATGTGTGCAAGACATAGCGTTGTACTTGAATTAGCGGAAGTTTCTCTCTGTCAAAAGCGCTTAATAGAATACACAGCCAAAAGTAACAAGTTTACAGTAGATACAAGCATGCTTAGTTCTTTTTTGTCCCTCTTTAAGTTCATTTTGTCACCATCTTGAATCTTAATAAAAATACGAGTTATATAAAGACCAAGTGTTAACGTGCTCTTCGTTTTCAGCTATACAGCTGGAAACCCTATAGTGTCCTACAAAAGAGAGTGGGGCGGTTGGAACTGGCATGGCTGGACGTCTTCAAATACTATTGGATCCTCTGTTGTGGGGGACACCTTTGACTGGGGGTCCGCCACCAGTTTTCACGAGCAGAGGGATTATGCTATCAACGTCCAGCTAGATCCAGGCAAGACTTGTAATAAATTGTTCATTGTTCGTACTTGCGTACTTTCTAAAAAAAACTTTTTAAGAAACTTACTGATAACAATGAGGGTAACATATAATTTGTCGATTTATTGGACCTAAAAGTAAAAATGTTACCCGAGGCCGCTGGCAAAAGATTGACTAACGGCAGACTTTTGATTCTTTTAATAGCTTGTCTGAGCAGAAATTGCATGCTTGTAAAATATTTATATGCAAAATGTTTGAAACTTTATTGGATAAAAATTTATTTCAGAAATTAAATTCATGTGTCGTTCTCAGTTTATGGTTTTAGAATTGTACTTAATTTATAATCTAATATCAATCCTTATCATAAAAAGCTGTTAAATGCTGCTACATGTCTTAGACAGAATTATTTAATAATCAAAGCCAACAAATTATGATAGATCAGGGGAAAACATTTTTTCAGATATCGGTTATTGTTGTGAGATGTCTGTTGAATAAATAGGCTAAATGCATTCAAAAGAGAAAGGTGCTACGGAAAACAAACCTACTTCTAATAATCGCTATACTTCTTTACTTTCTAGGGAACAAGCCAAGTCTTACAAATTTGGACAACTCTATGTCCTTTCCCGATGATACAGCAGTGAATACTCTCATCTACACCGTAACCTCCACCGATAGTGACACGACTGACGTCATTACTACTGTAATGAAAACGTCATCATCTTATTTTACTTTTGATCCGACAACGGGTAACACTAGAAAAAATGAAATTATTGATAATTCTTAATGATAATTCTATAATTAAATTTCAGTGTAGTCAACAAGACATTTTTCAAAGCTAAAACAAATTGAGCCTATTTTAAAATAAACATCAAGCGGAGTAATACGTTTTCGAAGTAACTCATTGTGACTCAGGCAACTTACGTTATACAATATAAAATAAAACTTTTATCCAATCAAATGACGTGTTACAACTAGAATTAAATTATCATATTATACACAGGATGCTTTTTAAAAGTCTATGGTTTATACATTTTGAAGCAGTCCATGATTCGTTATCGTCCATTTTTTAGGTGTTAATTATTAAATTGAAATTAAATGAAATAATATTTGTAGGAGAAGTCAGGAACACCGGGATTCTCCCCAGTGGAACCACAAATCTGAACTTCCGCGTGACAGACACATGCGGGCAAACCGACACCAAAACCTTGACGATCGTTGTCACCAACATTGTGAGTACGATATGGTAGAATTGCAATGAAATTGTTTTTAGATTACATACTAATATTAGATACTTTAAATGTATTCATAACATTTCCTTTTCTTTTCAACGGTCACAATAGCTCAGTCGGTAGAGCGCTTGCTCATTGATCCGAAGGTCGTGAGTTTGAATCTCGACTACTGACTTAATTGACAAATAAATGTTTAGCAATTGTTCCTTCCTCGGCACTTGAAGTGAAAGTTGCGGATGCTTTAGATGAGACTTTAAAAAGTCACGATAGGCGTTGGCAAGATAAGGATCCGTCACTGCGTAATGTCCCTAAGTGCGGAGTAAAGGTCAACATTTGAAGCTCTTCACCTATATGGTGATGTTTCTACATTGGTGAAAAATTCTCCGATGGGACGTAAAACAATGGAATCAATCAATTTTTTTCCCCTGGACATTAAAAATTATTATCTAAATTTAATTTTTAGTAATAACACTGATTTCAGCCTCCTGTCATTCATAACCTGCCGGCATCACGTGACCTCTCAGAGGACCACGCCTCAGAACAACTACTGTACACGATAAACGCTACTGACACGTCATCCCTGGACAAGGTAACCTGTAGTGTCAACAGCATCAGTCCAACCACAGACAACTTCTTCACCAGATTGATAACCGGATCAACTAGTAATATATCAACTTATATTTTTTAATTATGATTAGATTGCATAGCATATAATTTTTTTATTTCATTTTCTAAGAAACAAACGTGAACTTCTTTACATTATTTTCACGTAAAAGATCTATGTTTAGTTCGAATTATGAAAAATGTATGGATTTTTTAATTCAAATGATATTCAATTTCAAAGTACCCAACTGAAAAATTTGAGGTAAGAGTAGGCTTATTTTTCAGCTTTATATGGAGTGTATGTGAAAGCTCAACCCTCGCTTGACTACGACACCTCACGGCAGTATGACGTCACAGTGAGGTGCACAGATGGGAAAGATTCCGTGACCGGAGTATTCACAATATACATCTCCCGAAACAACCCACCTATATTTGTCAACTTACAAGGTTTGACTAAACATCTTTATACTTAACCAAGGTTTTTTCTTATCTCCTTTACGGTTGTCCAGGTAGAGCATTTGTCATGAAATGTTAAGGTCACCGAGCTATGTATTGTTTTAATTTAAATTTTGAAATTATATCAAGGCTACAAAGTCATTCAGATATGTTATTTCAAACTTTTTTCATTGGAGAAACTTCAGGAATACTATGCAACAATATATTCAAGAAGTGCATGGTTCAAATCAGATGTGGATACTTAAAAATTCTAAGGAACTTTTGGACAATTTGAAATCGCAAGGTTTTAAAAAAATCAACAGCTTAAAAACTTTATACACAACCATTCCACACGATGAATTAAGGTCAAGGATTTTTATATCATTGGCAGCTGTTTTGTCAATAAATATGGAACTAGTAAATAATTACCTTGTCTTTGGTCATTCGCAAAATTATTTTGTACTCATAAGAACTCTGAAGATGACATCAAAAAGATGCTTGAGTTTCTGATTGACAAGATCAATGTGATTTTTAGAGACTAGGTCTTCCAACAACCTAATGGAATTCCCATGAGTATCAATTGTTCCCTGTTATATGCAGACCTATTTTTGTATTCATATGAAGCAGAATTTGTGCAAAATCTTATGTGTGAAAAAGAAGAAAAAAATCCTTCAACTCGATATTTAGAAATACGCCGCATTGTCAATTAACAATGGTAACTTCCATTCTTATGTCGATACGATATATCCTGGTGAGCTTGAGATAAAAGATACCACCGAGTCTGACACATCTGTTTAATTTTTGGATATTTTACTTGAAAACAGACATTGATAGTAAACTAACAACCAAGCTCTATGATAAACGTGATGACTTCAACTTTACAATCTTCAACCTCCCTTACTTATAAAGCAATATACCCTCATCACCTGCATACGGAGTTTATATATCTCACTTAATTCGATACGCAATAGCATGCTCTACATATGAACAATTTCTAAAACGAGTTAAATATTAAGTGACAAGTTGATGAAACAAGAAATTCAGCAGTCTCGTTTAAAGCCATCGTTACGTAAGTTCTATGGTCGATATAATGACCTTGTCAGCAAATACCATTTATCATTAAGTCAAATGCTGACTGACGTTTTTCATACTTATTGATAGTCCATTATACACTGAATTGGCGACGGATTTTCCCGTTATTTCCCGATCATCACAAGGAGCACACGGCGGGTTTGACCGGTCAGCAGGGGATGCTCATTCCTCCATGTCAACTGATCCCAACTCTGATGTTTTGGAGGTCCATGTTTGCCCTGCTCCTATTTTGAATTGTTTTATGGATTTTTTTATCTTGAATACTGTTCGTTATCTCCGTATGTTTCATAGCGACAACAAGGATAGCAGCTGCCACGTCTACCAAAGGAAACATCATCTACACTGTGAATTCCACTGACGAAGATTCCAGTCAACTGTATTACAACATGACGTGTGTTCCTGCTGCGTGTCCCTTCACGATACACAACTGTATGTTCTACTTTCACAATATGCAACTGTATATTTTACTTTCACAATACACAACTGTATGCTCTAATCAATTTTAAATGAGTTGATTTGCTCAGCATGTACATGTCTATGTTAAGTAAACGCCGGTGAAATATCCGAGGTTTTTTTCAGATGGTGAAGTTATCGTGACTTCTGACCTCTCTTCCCACACTATACCCGGATATGACCTGTATATTTACGTCACAGATGGCAACACGTTGGTGGGACCTCGTACACTTACCGTAATTCTTGAAGGTATTACTTTGAGAATTAAACACATTTTTGTGCATACATTATCACGTTAAATAATTAGAAGTCAAAAACATGAGATACTTAAGTACCTGTAGGCGTTGATATGTTTAGTACGGATGTTCTTTGCTTACAAGGAATAAATTCAGCACCGTCGATCACCAACCTTCCTCTCTTGACCCCAATCACGGTACAGGAGAACGTTGCCATGTCAACCGCCGTCTTCCAGGTCTCCTTCTCCGACGTAGACGCGGGACAAAACCATACTTATCACCTGTTCTGTAGTCCGAGTCTGGGCTCAACTCTTTTTTCTATCGATTCTGCAAGTAAGCAAGTGTATTCTTTTGTCAAAAATACAACAAACCATTACATATACATGTATAAACACTGATAATTTTTATTTCTTGGTAAGAGTACTAAGAGAACAAAATAGTACCCTAGTTATCAATTCCAATTTAACTCATATGAATTGGGAGTAAATCGGATAAAATCCAAGGGAACTACTTCTAGATGGCCTGATCACCACCTCCTCCACTCAGACCATCAACTACGAGTCAGTGTCCACCACGTCTACCACATATCTGATGACCGTCACCGTGTCTGATGGATACGATACTGCTACGTCATCATTCACCGTCGCCATTGCAGATCAGAACGAGGTCCCGGTGTTCGGCAAGGATGCGTATTACATATCCGGCACCGAAGGCGTGGTATGGAATAATTATTTTCTACCTATGCTGAATTACATTTCATTAGTCATTTACTAGTATTCTGTTTTCTCATTTCCAAGAACAAATGAACTTTTACAAAAAATAAGGAAAAAAAAAACCTGAAAACAATTACTTAAAGTTTATTTTACAATTGGACGCATTTTCCCATTTGCATGACACGTTAAAGCATGACCCGTTGTATATAACTTTTGTGTGTTCAGTTTAATGGTAACAGTAATATTCAAATATTCAAACAGGCAGGGACTGTTGTAAGTAGCCCATCCTTTGACGTCACAGATCCTGATTCGGGAGACACACAGACATACTCTATAGATTGTCCGTCCTTTAATATTCATCCTAGTACAGCAGTCGTCACACTAAGGTAGGAGACTTTGGGGGAAAAATAGTGAATGAGAAGTCGTCAGAAGTCCCTCCTTTGCTTGAAAACATGAAACTTGTTTTTGATGTGATGAAGTGGTAAATGACGTTTTTATTGCATAACACATAAAAAATGCACCGTTCCTGCAAAGGCGGCAACTGTCATATCCCTTATGAACAATAAAAAAAACATTGCATTGTTTATTTTTGCATCATCCATTCGCTCTTTTGAATACGATATCCTTTTTACGGCAGCTCAGGTAATGCTTACTCCTTTATGGTACCCCATTCCACCTCTGTTTTAGAAGTCCATATTTGCTCATCTCCCGATTTGTTTGTTAAAAATGGACTTTTGAGCTTGAATAGTAATCGATATGTCCATATTTTATTATTTAAAAAGTCGGTTACTATTCTAAAATATCATGTATGACGATTTACTCTCATCACCTGCATTTGGAGTTCATGTCTTTCAGTTACTAGTTTTCAATACGCAAGGACATGTTCTAGAACAAATTTTAAAAGAGGCCGCGTGGCGCAGTGGTTAGAGGTCTGCTCTAGGGTCGCGAAGTAAGGAGTTGATCCTGACGTCGCGGGTTCGAATCCCACTGTGGGACTTGGAGACCGCTCTCGGATAAGACAGTATAAAACGAGGTCTAGTGTCGCAGTAGGTGCTGGTACGAAAAAATCTCTCCCTGCTCAATGGCCATTCGTGCGAATATAGGACAAAAGAGCAAGATAGGGTAAAACCCCTTTTTGGTCCCCGATTTTGGGTGTCTTTTCTTTCAGAATGATGCAACAGTTTATAAATATAAACCTGTTGTAACCCCTGCCATAAAATGAGTATTGGTGACCTATTTCCTGACCTCGTTGTGACCTATGAGTATTTCAAAACTTAGCAATTTCAAATTTTCTCATTTTTCTGCAAATTTTCTTCGATTTTACAGCAAAGTTTGTTTCGGTAAACTTAGAGCACAAGCTTGCCTATCTATCAAATTTATATATTTTATATACAAGTATGAGATGCAGTTTATGTTTTAAAAATCTGATAGACAAGCTTGTGTTCTATGTTTTCCGAAGAGAAAAGTATCTCAAATATGATGAAATTCTACAAGAATTGAGCAAATTTGGGGAAATGTCTTACTTCTGCACCCTAAAGTGGCTTCTATGTAAGCCTTGAACCCAAATTATAGCTTGTTTTAAAGTAAGCATCATTTTAAGTTCTTAACTACGCTTTGCACACAAATAATATAGTCCATTATTTTCATACGAAATTGTCTACGGTTTCTTTTCCGTTTTCCCAGTCATGACAAGGAGCACACGGCGAGTGTGACCTGTCGGCAAGGGATGCTCCTCCATGGCACCTGATCCCACTACTGAAGTCTGAGTTTTCTGTGCTCCTGATTTGTATTGTTTGAATAAACTTTGAGGTTGAATAATGTTCGTTTTCTCCATATATTTCATCAGATATAACTGTTTTATCAGAAAACATCAACAAACTCATACTAGTATATTATTGAGAAAAGTGAATATACAATATTTCCTTTCCTGGTTTTTATTCAAGTGAAATATTTCAGCCATGACTATGATCTAGACGTCGCTGGGACTGCCACATCAGTCACGTGCACAGTAACAGTGACAGATGGTGAGCTCACCGACACAGCCTTATTGGTCATCACACTTAGTGACGTCAACGATCACACCCCTGTCATGGGCAATCCCGCCTTTACATTTTACGCTTCGCCTAACACCGGAGTAGGTACCGTGATAGGCGTAATAACAGCCAGTGACGGGGATCTTGGATCTTTTGGTAAGGAAAAGGAAAACACAGCATTGTTGTTAAGGGTTGTAATATATCATTATGTTGTCCTAACCATTACTATAATCTTAAGTTGTCTGAAATGATTGTGGTTAATAATTCTCCATCAAAAATGTTGTAAGACAAAAAAAAAATACCTTAAAATAGCATTTTCAAAGAAAAAAAAGGTTTCCGTTACTAATTTTTAAAAAAAATAAATATTTATTGACTTTGGTATAGAATATATTTTAATTTTAATTCTGAAGAAAAAAAAAGTCTTTTATATCTTTGTGTGAGTATTTTTTTTTTACTGCTAAAATGGACATTTTGCCTTTGTTTGTAAAATTTATCTTAATTTTTTAAAGGAAACATTTCATATTCCTTGGACCAAATTTCCCTTGGAAATGAATACTTTGGAGTGAAGATTAATGGTGACATGTATGTGATGAACAGTTTGCTTGGCTTCTCCACGGGAATAACTCTGAGTTTGACTGCCACGGCTCGAGACAAGGGCGGATTACAGGGTACGTCGTCGTACATAGAAGGAATTTAATTTAGCTGTCAATACTGTCGCGTAAATTAAACTTTAATACTCTATTTTCATCGTGTTGTAAATTGATTAAAAAAATTTGATGCCATCAGTTTTAAATTATTTAATATTTTTTGTAAAAAGAAATCTGATCGTAGATATATTAACTTAGAATCCCGAATAAATTTTTATTGATCAAACTGACATAGGACTTTTTTCTAATAAATTTTCTAAGCAATTGAGAAAGTCTAAGGTTGTCCATTGCAGACACCGCCACCGTAACAGTCATTATCCCAGAATCCACCACTGCTGCCCCGGTAACCACCACAGATCGTCACCTAACCTTTTGGGAAGACACGGGGAACATCGCCTGGGTAACCGTCGCTTCTGTATTGCTATGTGGCCTCACTTTATATTGTTCCTATCTCCTTGCCAGATACGGAAACGTCCCATGCGTGAAACATTCTTACAAACGCCATGAAAGGTAAATATAAACAACAAGTATAATTGATGCAAAGCATCAAATCGGCCGCAAACAAAATTTTGCGTATTCAGAACAATTTTTACTAGTTGAAAAACTTTTCAATTTTATTCAGCATGCACTTTTACCACGTCATTATTATCCGGAAATCATGACGATTTCCTTTCATATCTTACACACTCCCAGGCTGGGGAGTATCTATTGTAAACTCTTTTACATAACCATTAATTATCAATTATCTAATGAGAAATGATGAAATTGAAACATAATAACAACAAATCATAACAAGTATAAAGCAAGTATTTTACTCGTAATTTATACTTGTTATCCTTTTGGAACCATTTTACTGAACTAATAAAAAATAACGTCTCATTTTCCCATGCTCACTTTCTAACACAACTACAAATAGATCGGCTACTGCTGTGGCCGATGATCATATGCAGTGTGATTTTTAGGTCCTATGAGATAGTCAAAGAAAGCACTTTATAACTATGCCATACAAAATAAAACAAGTAAACATCTAAAACACATTTTTTTTTACTTTACTCACTATTTCTCGGGGTTTTTTTTCCCTATCTTATCAATAAAGCTTCATAATTATTTGTTTCAGCAAAGTGAACACTACCAAATGGTCTCAACATGAAAACAACAAGAAGAACAACCTTGCAAATAAAAGTGAGACTGCAATCAGAATTCAAGAAATTCCACTGTGTCTCTTATTATATTAATTTTTATACATGTATATATTATCAAAACTTTAAATGAACTGAACTCCCATATTTATACACTCAGTTTGTTCATTTTTCGGATGCACATCTCATATAATCACTCTGAGTTTTTCTGGATTTTCAGCGAGATATGACTTGAAGCCATGGGAAAGTAGCAATCCATCTTACAAGTAAGGCTACAAAATAGTGGTAAATAATGATCCAATGCTACTTCTGTCATACAGAATTTTATTATTCTTTGCAAATCTTTTTGGCTACAGACGAGAATAATCTTTTCATAAAGAATATAGTTAGCTGACATATTAATATTCTACATTAAATTGAAAAGATACGTCCCTTTCCAGTGGAGGTAAAAGCTGAAAACAGGATATGGACGTTTGACAATTTGAATCATTTGGCTGAGGGTAGAAAATTTTCTTTGATCAGAATTTAACCCTCTATACAGATTTCTGTTGTTTATGGATTTTTTTAAATCGACCTCTATTCTTATTCTTATTATACTCATAGTTTCCTTTTCTAAGGAAGAAATTCTTCAAAATCATACGTCAGTTTTGAATATTTTTAATATCCCAAAAAACCAGAATGAATTTGAACTACCATATATCTATACTGGATTCCTAAACTTCAAACAAAGATGCATTGTATATAACGGGTTCCAGTAAATGCTCAACCAAGCCTCTTTCTTTACTCCTCACTAAGATATTAACAGAAGTGACGGAGAAACTTTAAGAATACTGTGCAACAATAAATTCAAGAAGAGGTGTAATCAAATGTGGATACTTAAAAATTCCAAGGAATTTTCGGCAATTTGAAATCACAAGATTTTACCAAAATCAACAGCTTAAAAACTTACAACTTTGCAACTTTAAACACAACCATTCCCCACGATTAATTAAAGTCCAGGCTTTTTATTATCATTGACATCTGCTTTTTCAATAAAATAAAACTCGTAAATTTACTACCTTGTCATTGGTAATTTGCAAAATAATTTGTTAAAAACATTCTGACTATACACACAAGTACTTTGAAGTTGACATAAAAAAAATGCTTGAGTTTCTGATTGAAAATATCTTTGTGGTTTTTGGAGACCAGGCCCAGGGATCATGAAACATCTTAAGCTTAAGTCAAAATCTATATTTGATAATAAAATGTTGTGGAAGTCAAGCAGACCAAAATTAGAATTTTTTCCATATTATTTCACAGGGGTGTTTTTATATGCAAATTTAGAAATGAATTCCATAATTAATATATATCTTTCAGGCGATTGAAAATTTTGACTTAATTTTAAGTATGTTTCATGATCCTGAGTCCAGGTCTTCCAGCAATCAATTGGAATTCTTATGGGTACCAATTGCGCCCCATTATTATCAGACCTATTTTTATATTCTTGTGAAGCAGAATTTGTCTAAAATCTTGTACGTGAAAAAAGAAAAAAGAAAAGACGTAGCCTTCAACTCGACACTTAGATACTAGTATATCGACGACGTATCGTCAATAAACAATGGTAAATTCCATTCTTATGTCGATACGATATATCCTGGTGAGCTTGAGATAATAAAAACCCCAGAATTTGACACATCTATTTCATATTTGAATATTTTACTTGAAAAAGACGTTAATGGTAATCTACAATCAAGCTTTATGATAAACGTGATGACTTTAACTTAACAATCGTCAACTTCCCTTACTTATGCAGCAATATACCTTCATCACCTGTATACAGAGTTTATATATCTCAGTCGATTCGATACGCGAGAGCATGATCTATGTATGAACAATTTTTAAAACGAGGTAAATCATTGACAAACAAGTTGTTGAAATCACAAGTCCCTGTGGTTGAAACAAGAATATTAGCAGTGTCGTTTAAAGTCATTATTTCGTAAGTTTTATGGTCGATACAATGACCTTGTCAGCAAATACAATTTATCATTGAGTCAAATGTTGATTGACCTTTTTCATACTAATTGTCAGTCCATTATTTATACATTGAATTGACGACGGATTTTACCGTTGTTTCCCGATCATGACAAGGAGCACAAGGGGATGTGACCAGTCGACATGGGATGCTCACTCCTCCATGGCACCTGATCTCACCTCTGATGTTTTGGAGGCCCGTGTTTGCTCTGCTCCTATTTTTGTATTGTTTTTTTTTACTTTTGATCTTGAATACTGTTCGTTATCTCCATATGTTTCACTTTACCTTGTTTATAATCATGAAATATAAATTTACAATTATATTAGCCCTAGTAATGTTTTGTGTACATTTTGATTGAATGTACCCGTGTTGTTGGTTTTTTTTTCTTACTCAGGTATGGTAGCTCAAGAATTGCCCATGTGTAAAAAAAAAAAATAAATCCACTGGAGAATGGAAGAAGTATCTACGTTTCAAGATGATGCAAGACAACAACATTGTGCAACCTTTTTAGATCATGCCTTTTTCCAATGTGGTCCAGAAATAAGTTATCTTAAGGGCAGATGATACAAACAATCTTTTGTCATAAATATTGAAATAACAACCTGGACCATATTTTAATGAGTATAATGAACAAGTTTAACTGCGTAGTTGCCAATTTTTCATTAACATTTAAACAAAAATGGAATTTGAAGTGAAAAAAATATATGTATAGATAAATAAGGATGGATGCAGGAAGGTAGAATTTTGAACATCATAGGAGGTTTACAAATTCTTAATATTTTGGAAATTTCTTAGTTGCATCATTTTCAACAAAAATAGGCCCAAAAATATATATACCAATCCAGGCATCCATTTTTTTTATTGTATTATATGTGTTATAAGTGTTTAATTCCAAATGTAAATGGAAAATTGTAAATTAGAATTTTCCTTAAGTTTAAATTGTATTTTCCTGTGAAATATCTACGTAAACGAATTTCTTTTCAGTATTGTATTTAGCTTGCGGTGGAGTAGATTTGAAATTGTGTGTATAATTTGTGGATACTTGTAGTTTATCTCGAATTTAGTAATCATAGAAAACTATCTAGAGAATATGTCAGATTTCCTGGTCATTTACTTTTTCAGATTTGGTATAATCCTGCAAGGACAGGGGAGAGTTAATATCTTTTTTCTGTCAAAACACGTTTTCATATTTAAAAAAGGATTGTGCATACATTGTATGTACTTGTGACACAGTGGATATGCTATTTATTATATACTAGCAATGTGTGATTGCTTGTATGTTTTATTTTATTATTTTTTCAATTCAGTATCAACGACTTGTTAACCTTGTGAACAACGAGTTTAATAAAAATGCATCTATCCTCAACGTTTTTCAGCAGCAAAAACTAAATTAGTTAATGGATTTATGAATTAACGTAATGGCTATCCCTTTAATCTAATCAAGGAAAACGACTTCCTTCTGCGTTTCCCTTTGTCCCTTGCCAAATTATTACAATCAAAATGAAAAAAATGGGGATTAGACAGATTAAATGATTACAATAATTACTTAACTTTAGCAAGTTTTAAGTTAAAGTTAACGAAACAAAGATGTCTAAAACTTCGATTAAAAGCAACATGTTAAAAATTCTATGGTCAATACAATCCACTTGATGGAAAATACAATCTATCATTAAGTCGAATGCTGACTGACGTCTTTCAAACTGATTTTTGAGCCAGTTTGTCGTTTACCCGATCATGACAAGGAGCACACGGCATATATGACCGCTCGATAGGAAAATAGCACCTGATCCCACATCTGGTGTTTTTTTTTATATCCACGTAGCTCTGCTCCCGATTTGTATAGTTACAAATGACCATTGATCTTAATGATTGTTTGTCATCTTTATAGTTCCTCTTTGAAAAAAAATCATTTTCTTGTTTATTTCGACTCCATATATTCCAGTGAACTCGAAATAAAAAGACACCAAAGAGTGTGTAACATCTGTATCATTTTGTACTAACTATAGACGCTATAAGGAAAGCTTATAAATAAAAATTGTAAGACGAAATAGAGGACTTCAGCTTTTCAACTTTCTTTGTGTTTTAAAGTAATATTCAACTTTTGCCTATATGCAGTGTTTAGATCTTTTTTAAAAAGTTAATATTAAAAGGATTTCGACGTTTACGTTTAAAGTCAAATTTCCGCAAACTCTCTGCTTGTGCATGACTTTGTAAACTCAACCTATCGATAGGTCTATTATGTCTGAGATTTTGATAACCATCTGATTGGTCATTGCTTTTATACTTCACTTGTTACAATTTTCTCACATTTTAGATTTTTTTATCAAGCAGATTTTGTCCAGAATCTTGTACGTGAAAAGAAGAAAACTCTTGCCCATGACTTCATCTTGACATTTAGATATATAGTCAATTAACAATGGTTATTTCCATTCTCATGTCGATACGATATATCCCGGTGAGCTTGATATATAAGATATCACAGAGTCTGACACATTCGTTTCATATAAAGATATTTTGCTTGAAAAGGATGTTAATGGTTATCTAACAACCAAGCTCTATGGATAAACGTGATGACTTCAACTTTTCAGTCGTCAACTCATCTGCATATGGAGTTTATATCTCTCAGTGATACGCAAGAGCATGCTCTACGTATGAACATTTTTTTTAAACGAGGTAAGTTATTGGCAAATAAGTTGCTGAAACAAGAGTATCAGCAGTCTCGCTTGTAAAGCCATAATTTCGTAAGTTCTATGGTCGATACAGTGACCTTGTTAGCAAATACAATTTATCAATAAGTCATATGCTGACTGACGTTTTTCATACTAATTGTTAGGCCCTCAGTTAAACACTGAATTTGTCGACGGATTTTTCCGTTATTTCTCAATCATGACATGGGGCACACGGCAGGTGTAACCGGGTGGCAGGGGATGCTCACTTCTCCATGGCATCTGATCCCACCTCTGATGCTTTTTAAGGTCCTTGTTTGCTCTGCTTCTATTATTTGTTGTTTAATGGACTTTTGAGCTTGAGTTTTGTTCGTTATCTCCATACATTTTATCCTCTGGATAACTTAGTTTACGGTAACTCATTCGACAAATGTTCTTAATCAAATGTAAACTGCAAGTTAATCAGGGAGGTATATTTGAAACCTTTCTTTTAATGCCATTAGATAAGTCACGTTGCATGACTTCAAAACAATATAATTGGTTATGAAATTCATCGGTCAGATTTAAAAGTGTAAATATATTGGAATAAAAAAACATATTTTTTATATTGG